AGTCTGTTTGCAAAATCCATGTGTTCCTAAGTTGTCAGTAAACAAGTATAATAAAAAATAAAAGTTCCAAACCCTAGATCTCCCTATTAATGTAGTCCTATTTGGGAGTAGGGTGTTCACTACTATGCTAATAAGACCCTGTGTGGGGAGGATGCATTTTAAACCAGTGACTTTTGAGATATAAGAGAGCCATTTAGTCTCTGCAGTAAGAGTGACATTATTTGTAGAGGACTGAAGCAGCATAGACTAGAAACCCAGGAACTCGAAAGACAGCCTGACAGAGAAATGCACACAGAGATAATCCTTAGGAACCCACAAAGAGAAAGTCTTTCCCTAGAGCTGGTATCCTACTTACAGACTTCCAGCCTCCTAAAAGGACAGAAAATTAATTTCTGTTTGTGAAAGGCAAGTACATGTGGTGTGTCTGTTAAAGTGGCACTCAATAATTAAGACAAACAACTCTGGGGTCTGGCCTCTGCCCACCACTCCCACAGCCCCACCTAACCACCCACCCACAAAAAGTCACTGCTATTCAGTTAATTCTGACTCAAAGCACCCCTGTGGGATAGAGTAGGGCCTTCTTTGGGTATAAAATTTTAACATGGGCACACTGCCTTGTCTTTCAAACCACCAAATTTTAGTTAGCAGCTGAATTCTTGATCTGCTATGTATGCTACCAGAGCCCCAAGCAGCACAATTTAAAAAGTTCTTACTTAAAAAAGCTTTTGGCTGCCCCTCTGGGGCTATTTCCAGGCTGGGAAGATGAGCAGAATGGCCGGATTCTGCAAAGGCATGTTTTCTGGTTTGGGGTTAAGACTAGGGTGTGGCTGTTGTTCACAATAGAGTATGAGCTGATTGGATTTGGCCTATTTAAAAAAGCTATTGTAGATCTCTGGAATCAAACAGGCTTGTAAGCAGTAGTGGTATCTACTTCCAAAAAGAGCTTGCCTCCAGAAACTATATGAACTTGGAGAAAAGGTGAATATTTTGCATTCAAGACTTTTGTTCATAGGGTCCCTATGGGTCGTCAATGACTCTATGGCATGTAACAACAAAATCACCTTGCAATGAAGGCTAGAATTTTCTGAAGACCTCAAAGTGGCCTACATCGATGAATTGACACTATACTGCTTGCATTTGCTTGCTCCCTGTGGGACAAATAAGCAAATTTGGCTACTTGTCTATAATTTTTAAAACAGCCTAAGCAATTACTCTTTTGAATTTTCATTTGAACAAGTTCGTTTTCCGCACAACCACTACTGCACCTTTAGTTTTGTGGCACTGATTATAATACTGATTATAAAAGGACACTTTTCCCTATTCTTCCCTGTGATTCTCATCTCCATGGAGCCATAGATCCTTCTAGGCTGCCGTTTCCTGGCTTCTGAGCTTTATTCCTGAGCGTATGATATCCTTGTATGTTTGATTGTACTAAGGAGTGAGTATCTCCCTAGTGTTATTGTTCCCCTTATAGGCCTGCTGTTTGGATAAACATTGAACCACATGTGTAAGTTTAGTTCCAAGATGCAGTTGTGACTAAGAGCTGTACACTTGGGGGTTCCACTAATCTTTGTTTTCCAAGAGTTTTTCATGTCAGGTCCTAGGAAATCTCAAGGGAACTGTGGCAGCCTCTGTGTAGGGGGTTGCTCTGCCAACCCAAAGACTTGCAGTTGGAATTCACCAGCTGCTCTGTGCGGTAAAGGGGGCAGTGCCTCCTTAGCCATCTCTAGCCTCTGAAAACCCAGCTATTAGTCGATTCCATCTTGAGGACAATAATGACCCAGCTTCAGTTTTCTGTGAGGTGTGCTTCCTCCCTTGGTTAGTAGGTTGACTATTCAATCTATACTTCACTATTTAAAGGAGATTGACTTGAGACATGATGTTTAGAGGGGCTGGATTTTGGAAGAGGATAAAATGCTCACGAAACGGAAATCTGGTAAAGTGGGGGGACACCAACAAGGAGAGAGATTGACCAAATGGCCAGAACAATGGGCTTTAACAAAGCTGGGATGCTAATCACATCACAGGACAATTCAGGGTTCACAGCCATTTTTTTAGGGTTGCTGTGAGATATAGGTTACTTCTTGACATTTAGCATCAACAACCATAGTAAAATAGCCTATTTAACATAATATGATTATTCAAAGAGATGCATGTTTTTTCCCATTCCTAGAAAGATGATCTGATAGAATGTGGAAATACATCCTTAATGTAGCATGTGAATAAAATTTTGTTGAAGATTATTAGAAAAATGGTTGAAACAGTGCATCGACAGTGTTCTGCCAGAAATTCTAGGTAGACTCAGACAAGAGAAAGTGGGATAGGATTGCTCGTATCAGGTGAATCTTAACTGAAAGCAGAGAATATCAGAAAAATGTTTGTTTGGGCTTTTTAAAAAATACTGATAATTATTTTTTATTATTTCTTTCCTGCTTGTCATCCTGAAGCTTATTTTTTAAAAAAGAAAAACACCTTAATATATTATATTTTCAATATGGAACCAAATGTTTCATTTTAACATCTCTGTATAAACAACAATAGCCATTGTCCTTGTGTCGATTACTACTTGTGGACCTTATGGGACCAAGTAAAGTCCCATAACATTTACAAGGCTGTACATTTTATGGAAGCAGATTGTCTCATCTTTCTCATGCGTAAATATCAACATTTACAAAAAATCATTTGGAGATAAACATTTCTCTTATTGGTGTGCTCATTTGGGGAAACATGAAAGAATTGCTATTGCATTGAATTGGCAGATATTTATCCCTTTTGTTGTGGCCCTCACAGTCCTCTGGACAGTTATGGGGAAAGGAAATAGGAATACGACATATCACTGACGTTTAAGAATTGGATCATGCTGCAGCTGCCACCATGGAGACGTACCGAGTCCCGTTCTTAGTACTCGAATGCCCAAACCTGAAGCTGAAGAAGCCGCCCTGGGTGCATATGCCGTCTGCCATGACGGTTTATGCTCTGGTGGTGGTATCTTACTTCCTCATCACTGGAGGGATAATTTATGATGTTATTGTGGAACCTCCAAGTGTTGGCTCTATGAGATGAGCATGGACATCGGAGACCAGTAGCTTTCTTGGCCTACAGAGTAAATGGACAGTATATTATGGAAGGACTTGCATCTAGCTTCCTTTTTACAATGGGAGGTTTAGGTTTCATAATCCTAGACCGATCCAATGCACCAAATATTCCAAAGCTCAACAGATTTATTCTGCTGTTCATTGGATTCGTTTTTGTCCTACTGAGTTTTTTATGGCCAGAGTATTCATGAGAATGAAACTGCCAGGCTATCTGATGGGTTAGGGCACCCTTTGAGGAGAAATCAGTGGATACTGGATTTGCTCCTGTTGCTAAAGTTGTAAAGGCTGTACCAACTCTTGAATATGATGTAAGGGAGAAGAATGAAAAGCAGATGAGATGGAAGAATCTTGTGAAAATGTAGGAAGCTTGTGAGAACTGAGACTAGATTTTCTTCTTGGTACTATCACATTTGACACACTTATCACAGTATTGTTCCCTGCTGATCTCCACCGGCATATCAATGATGTTTGCTGATGTTTTCTTCTCGGTTTTTAATTCCTAAAAGAAATATACTCATTTCTATAATACTGAATAAAATGATTATTTTTTATAGCCCCTTAACATTTCTTGGAGATGGCATTTTTGATTTTCAAACTTGAATGTTAAATCAGGAAGTACGATTCTGTGAGCTGAGAACTCTGGCCGATCGGCGTTATCTGTGGTACTTTGCCTTTCAACAGAGGGTGTGTTAACTTCAACAGAGTATGTTATTTCTGGGGTGTATGTATAAGGCTGTTTCCTGAAAAATGGAATGTATGAAAGGAGCAGAAAGAAATACTTTTTCTAATAAAAAAAAAAGAATTGGATCATAATAAAAAAGAAAAAAGAAAAAAACTGTTCATAATCAAAAAGAAGAATGTGACATTTTGATTGGAAAAAGACTCAAACAACCTGCGAAGGAGAAAGTGAGATAGACTTGAAGCCCTTACTGCAGAAGATCAAAGACTACAGGATTCAATGTAGACTACATCTCAACATCAAAAACCTCCCCAACTTCTGACCTTTCCCAACTCCCACCATCCCGTGTAAATTCCTATTCCCAGGTCACCCCCATCCCACACCAGCTTCCTCCCTTTGGGCACTCATGATGCCTAAAACTTAAAATTCATGACCTCAAAGTTTGATTTCCTTCAGAGGGAAGCCTGAAGTCCTCACCCATTTTCACTAGTGCCTGAGGTCTGAGAGACAATCTCAGTCTCTTCCATGATCAGAGCAGGTATTATGTACTAACAGGCAACGGGCTGAGAAAGAAATTGCTTAAAGGTCCCAATGATTACCTGCAAGTTTGCAAAGAGGAGGTGCTCAACTGCTGTTTGGGCAAAGAAGAGCCAAGTGAACAAGAGATCTAAATCACTGATTTATTTACTTCTACACATCAAGAAAGAGATACACAAATACAGGCATAGAACTTTTTTAAAACCAATAGAAATGTTGGAAACTAAGAATAAACTACTTGTTCTATACTCTCTCCACATCTGCATTTTGTTCATCCTTCTTGGTCATTTATTTCTTTGACATGTACCAGGATTTTACCCTGTTCACATACCACTTTGGCAACCTGCATATCACAAAACGAATCAAAGGATTTTTAATTAAAACACACCATTTTAACATTGAAATCTGCACGATAAGTTTATGAGGGTATATTTCAACTCTGGTTACAAAGACACCTTCAACTTAAAGGCAAACTTTAGAAAACACACTAAACCTAAACCTAACTCAGGTAATTTAGACTCATAAGAAGACATATATGTGCCCATAGGAGCCCCACCTCACCTCCTCTACTTAGACAACTTATAGCCATTTTCGATAACAATGTGAAAAACCTTTATTCTCTCTTTTCACGGGAAGCCTTGCTGGACTTTGCCCTGAATCTGGCCCTGGCCCTGGCATTAAAATTAGCCTCAGACCAGATCATGGTTGCTGCTCTCTCTTCTTCCTCTTTCCAAGTTTCCACAAACAGGATTTTGAAGGCCTTGTGATCCATACTCCCTCCGCATCTTGGCGATGAACTCTAGGACCTTGGCCTTGCTGGCTTCGGTATAGGCCTTGGGACCCCACAGGAACTGGAAAGTTGGAGGATCGCTGCCGGGCACCTGGCAGTACTCCAGGTACTTTTCCTGCACCGTATCTTTGGTGATGAGCTTCCTGGGGTCTCCAAAGAGGAAGTGCCTCTTCCCATCAAAGACCCCAACTCGATTGAGGAATTGCCAGAGCTGCTCCTCGCTGACCTGGTATTCATTCATGTAGATCATGCCCAGGATAGGCAGCAGCAGCCCATACTTGGGGAACCTCTTACTATCAAAGACATAATCTTCCTGGCTGATCTCCAGCACATTGGCCAGGAGGTAGGTTGGAATGCTGGGGTCGACTTCCTTGAGCTCAAGGCCAAAGACCAGCTCCATGTGCTCAGAGACTCTCTGCAGGACCTCAGGAAAGCGAGTGTGGTCCTTCTTGTTGATAATCTTCATGATTTTTTTCTTGGTGATCAATGGCTCTTTCATCTTATACTTGTGCAGCAGGAACTGCACCAGAAAGCTCATCCTCTTGGGGCCCCCTGCAGCGCTCTCAGAGGAACTAGCACCCCTACCATATTGGCCGTGGTCACCTCCATCATCCCCTGTGCAATAGGCACACAAATCAATATTGGGGATGGGTGGGACTCTTTGAGAACTCAGCTCAGTGGAAAGACCAGGGAGATGGTGAGAAGCCCAAGGAGGAGAATCCTCATGAGGAGGAGAATCTTCAGAAGGTGGAGCATCCTCAGGAGGTGGAGAATCCTCACAAGGAGGAGAAGCCTCATAAAGAGGTGAAGATGAGGGAGATGGGGCTTCCTCTTCTGTAGCAGCAGCCTGTGCCTCTTCAGGGGCCTGGTGTTCCCCTTGAGTCTGGCGGCGCTTCCCATGGGCACGGTTCTTACTTTTGTGACCATGAGGCATGATGAGCCCTGGTAGCCAAGTGTAGGAGAGAGAAGCAGGTGATGCAGACCCGTTGAAGGTTAGAGAGAGGGTCTACTTTAACTCAGAACCCTGTGGAGCCAGTAAGAGGAAAGTTGTACCCTGCCAGTTCTCCTTGGGACTTCATGTGACCAACAGGGGCCCATAGGAGGTAAACCACTGTGCGGGCTTAGTGCTAAGCTTTCTTCCTTCAGGACCTGGAACCTCCTCCCCTCTGCTCTTGTGAACTTGACACCTCTAAGGCTACTGCGTCCCACAAGTAGACACTAAAGGAGCAGCTCCATCCCCACTGCTGACATGGGTGGCTCAACAATAACAGCACAGTGGTGCTTGTTTTGTCCGTAGAGGACTCAGTCCTCTCCCCCAGTCTTCACCTTTCCTGCCCCCTTTGACCATGTTGGTCATCTCCCTGACAGGCACTGAAAGAATGTGCACCCTCCTGGCTCTGTCATCAAACTTCATCTGCCCCAGATGTAGAAGTATGTGTGGGCCTTTTTGTGTCCACCTTTTCCAGGGAAGAACCATTTCATCAGAATCTGTGTTATAAGCTTTACTCTCTTTTCTCTTTAAAATGAAAATGTTTACTTTATACTGGTTTACTTGGAATGTTCGCATACATTCTATTCACACTAGATCTTTCCCATTTTCTTCACCCGTGAAATTGTATAACCCTATGATTAACCACCACCTACACACCCACACTACCTCCTGCTCATCCTCACCTCTTTGCTATCACCCTCCGACCCATGGATCCTCATACACATTCTGCCATAATGGTCTTATACTGTATTTGTCCTTATGAGACAAAGTTCATTTAAGATAATCTCTAGTCCCTTCCACTAACCTTGATTCTTCTTAGGGACTATGTCTCCTTCCTCTGTTGTGTGACCTCCAGTTTTGCAGACTGGAAGCCAAAACCTTCGACCCAGGACTCCACCTCCTGAGATATCCCTGTTGGAGTCAGAATAGACGTGTTTTGTGAAGGTTCTTTAGTATGAACATGCAATTAGGGTGGGTTTTGAAGACTGGAAACAAGGGAAACATTTTTGGGACTCCATGGATCCCACTAACACACACTGTGTCGTGTACTATCAAGTTGGGATCAACCTGTAGCTGAACATCTAGCTGATTTCCTAGGCACTTAATTCCAAGGGAGCAGATTGTCCATGTTTCTCCTTCAGTCCTATGATCCCAAGGCCATGGCAAGGGTAGGCACACTTCAGCCCTCCCCATTCTGCATTGAGTGGTCTCCACTATTTCAAGCATTTTCCCCCCCACACACACCCTTGCTCTGCTCTAATGTGGAACACTACAGCGTGCAGCCCTGAAGCCACGCCCCTCCAACACCAGACCACGCCCCCTGTGATATCCCTGTTGGAAGCTGCAGAGCCGTATTTTCTGAACTTGTTTGCCATCACTAAATACTCGGGGTGGTTTTTGGAGATTGTGGTAATGGGGGAGAAGTTTTTTGATACCCCCACAGTACACAATAGCCTGTGCATTCCTTCCAGTTCTTACCCCAGCTTCTGACCTGGAGGGACCCTGAGCTAAGTCTTCCTATTCCCCCTCAACTGACTTCATCCCCCTAATGCAGCAATGGATTGTCAAGGCTCATGTGGAGACCTCCCCGAGGAGGGGGGGAGGAAAGTGAGGGTGCTGCATATTAGAGTGTCCCTCTCTGGATGCTCTCAGAGGTGAGAGCAGAGTAGTGCCTTGACTCATCACCTTAGGCAATGAGGACTTCATAATGGCTCTGTGGGCCATCACCTGCTCTGTAATAAGGTTCCTGGTCTCCCCACCTTCCACCTTCATTTGCTACACACCCTCACCCCGTGGTCATTCATCCTCCAAGACTTTGCAGGCTGACATCTATCAAGTGGATCTGAGCCTGGCTATAGGGCAGGTCCCATGCTGAGCCTACACTATTTGGAGTGGGTGGTCCACCAGCTCCACATTTAGGGTCCTCACCAGGGTGCTGAGCAGTCTTTGAGTTGAGCGTCTTGGTCTGATGAGTGACCAGAGATTCTGGAAACTACAAGCGTCTTCCAGCCTTCGGGCATATTGGGGGATAAAAGTCTACTGTCGTCACATCCGGTGGCAGCTGCGGATTCGGGAAGGGGGTGCTGCTAACAGTTCATGGGGCTCCTTCCCGCACTGCCAGGATTGAGCCTATTGGTTGGAAGTTCGTCATTCTTTAGTGCCCACTCAAGAACCCCCCTTCCGACACCTGTTGGATTCTGAATTCTTGTCCAAAGTGATGTGTGTCCCACACACAGAGGGAAAGAATTTAATTCTCCGTTCCTTGCCCCCGCCCCCAGGTCATGACACACCGAACCACAGGCTCGGGAGACTTCTTGGGCAAAGTGTTTTCCAGGATGAACCCGCCAATAATGTTGGGATCCATATTCACCTCTCTTTGGGACATGACTTCACCCTCTGTAGAACTGAGGCCATTACCCTAAACAGGCACATTCCTTCCTTGTTTGAAACTACTCAGAATGAAATGAGGGTGGTCCTGAGGCTGATTGCTGTTATTGCAGATTATTGTGGCCCCAGGCGTCACATAAAGTGGAACTGCACCTACAGTGTTTGGAGGAATTTCATCTTTCCCAGAATGGATTGCCAGGTCTTTATTTTGCGGAATGCCTGAGAAAGTTTTCACCTCCATATTGTCTGCTAACATCTAGGACAAGCATCCACATCACAAAAGACAGAGTCTATCATTGCTTTCTAGTGATGTTTTTTTTTATCAGAAAAAGCACCTTTCTGAGTCTTTAATAAAACAAAACTTGTTTTAACTCCATTTAGCAAGCTACTGTTCTCAATTCGGACACCCTTCTTAAACGAGTCTTCTATTGTGTGTGTTGTATTGGGCACAGGACTGTGTCTTATTTGAGCTGATTCTTTTGGGGAGGGAGCTATGAAAGCATAGTTTGTAGGGAGATGTGCTGCTAATCTTAATTTGGGGGTTCAAATACACCAGCAGTTGCCAGCAGATAAGTAAGTGGTGGATCTCTTTTCTTGGGGTTTCAGCCCCCCAAAATTCACTGAAATGTCTGGTATGCGATAGTAAGAAGTTTGAATATGTAAGTTTTGTTTTGTTTCTGGAGAGCTCTGGTGTCCTAGCCCAATCGGGGCTTGTGCTCCAGACCTAGGGTACAAGTTTAAACACACCAGCTGATCCATGGAAGGAAGAACTCCCTCGCAGGTTCGATTCTCAAGCAGCTCCACAGGGTCCTTGTGATTTACTGCATCTAAAAACCTACTGGGTGCAAAAAGTTTGATATTTTAATTTCTTTTCATTTCTAGGTAGCCCTGGTGGTGAAATCTGTCATAAGCAGTGCTGGTGACCCAAAGACGGATACCTTTCATCGGTTGCAAAACCACCAACATCCCTATGAGAAAAAGGTTGGCAGTTCCCTATCACCCTTGTGATTAATAAACTCTTAAAACTCGCCTAAGGGACTGCGGTGAATCAGGGCTGAGTTGATGTCAGTGAGAGTTTTGAATGTCATTTCCCAGGAGACCTCAAGGGAATGCTGGCACCTATCTGAAGGGTGTTGTTCTGCCAACCCAGAGACCTGTAGTGGAATTCAGCAGCTGCTCTGGGGGGCAAAGGTGGGCAGTCGGCTTCAGAGCTATTTCTAGCCATTGAAACAGCCATTGGAGGATCAGGTCTAACTTGAGGGCAATGATGCCCTGGCTTTTGTTTTCCCTGAGCCGTGCTTCCTCTCCTGGTTGGTTGATTGGCTATTCAATCTGTTCTTTACTATTTAAAGTGATTGACTTGAGACATGATGTTAGGAGGTGCTGCACCTTGAAAAAGGCATAATACTCAGAAAAGTGGATGTTCAGTGAAGTACTAGGGGACCAACAAGGAGAGGAATTGACAAAATGGCTTTAGCAATGGGATCTAGCGAAGGTGAGATGGTAATGATTGAGCAGGACAATACAAGGTTCAGAGCCATTTTTCTAGGAGTCCTATGAGTTGTAGTTGACTTCATAACACTTAACATCAATAATCATGGTAAAACAGCTTCATGAACTCAACAGTATAATCCTAAGGGATCCATGTTTTTCACCATTCCTCAAAAAGATGATCAGAGTACAGACATACATCATTAACATAACATGTGAGTAAAATTTTACTGAAGATTATTTGAAAAATGTGTGCCAACAGTACCTCAGCAGGGAACAGCCAGAAATTCTAGGTTCATTCAGAAGAGGTCATGGAAAGGGGGGATATCATTGCTCCTGTCATGTGAATCTTTTTTTTTTTCTTGCAAAACAATTGAAAATATCACGTGAATCTTAACTGAAAGCAAAGGAAAACTATAAAAATGTTTATTTATGATTGCTTTTTATTTTCTTACTCATGATTTTTGTTTTATTATTTCTTCCCTGTCATCTTCAAGTTTACATGTTTTTATTAATTTTAATGAAAGTTTACAGAGACTTTGGATTTCCATTCATTCATTCTTGGACACTTTCCTCCCTGCCCACTTGTCCCCCCAAGTTCACGTTACTTTTTGAAAAGTAAAAAAAATTAAAAAAAATTCATTGTTATTTAACCCTCCCTCCCCAAGTCCACTCCACTATGCAGTTTTTATTCCGGACTCTTGTCATGACAATAATGCTTAATTATATATTGCTTTTAAACATTTTTCTCCCTCATTTGTTTCAATGCACGATAACATTATTTATTCCCTCTTTTCTTAGTTACTCTGCAACCCCCATGTCAGTCCCGCTTTACAACAGTTAGCATTATATAGTATTTGTGCTTTTGTGACTGAGATATTTCACTCAGCATAATGTCCTCCAAGGTCACCCATTTTGTATAATAGTTTATGAGTTCCTTGTTTTTCGATGCAGCATAGTATTTGATTGTGTGAATATACCAGAGCTTCTCTATACGGTCATTTGTTGATGGACACTTGGTTTGTTTCCAAATCTTGGCTATTGTGGACACAGCCGCAATAAAC